TATATATAATTATATTATATATATCATATAATATATATTGTATTTTATATAATATATATATATATATATATATATAGGCACATTACTTTCTTACGTTTGTTAAATAAATTTTAATTAATTAGTTCGTATATTATTATCGACAATATAATATATAATCGACAATAAGCACAGTGCATAAGAACGAGTCGCAAAATGTTGTCTTTAATCGCATTAGGAGAGACTGTGCTAGAATTTCTGAAGCGTGGGGGACCATCGCGTAGTATACCTGACGATGGAATCAGGTCAGGACGGAACACTCCTTATGTTCGATATTTGGTATCCGTAAAATGATCGATACGATAGTTTCGCATAAGAGTAGCTTCGCAAAAAAGTGAGTTATTCAGATAAAAGATTTTTTTGTATACGATATAAAAATAATAATGTAAAATATATTTTACAGTGCACTATTATTAATCTTATATTTTAAATAGATCTTACAAATTGCGAATTTATTTGTGAAAGAAATCTTGTTCGAATAAAATTCTCATATTTTCCCTCATTTTCGTAAATTCGCTTGTCTTAATATACGAAAAAAAGTAAACTCTCTCTAGTAAAGAAACTTTTAAGGAATTAAATTCTTTCTATACTTTTTGCCTTTTTCTCGTATTATTATACTAAATTTTTATTTTCTAAGCTTGAATTACAGCAAGACGCATTTCAAATACCTTTACTTATTTTGTTTTGTTTTGTTTCCTCTTACCAAGATTTAAAATGTTATAAAAATAAAGACTAATATATTTCGTAAAATAAATTTATGGACATGTATCAAGCGAAAACTTGGCAAAATCATTGTTGCGATCTCACGACATTTAAATGGCGGAATGATGTAAACCACAACACCATGCCTATCATAGATTGTTGAAAGTATACGACAAAGGTGGGAAGATACCGAGAGCAGTGACTGTAGATAACAATGCAGAGGCATATCGATCTCGTCAGTGAATATGAGCTGATACGCGCGGGTGTGTCCAACAAAAAGATCGTCCTCTAATTTTTCAGACAATCGTACATAACTTTTCGAACGTAACTATTTTAGAAGAATATAAAAAACTCACATTTTGGGGCGCCAGCTTGGCAGACCTGTTATTTATGGTACCATCATCGAAAAGTCGATCAAATGATTCGGATTAATACGTTACTTATTGGCTTTAATCGCACCTAATTAAACTCTAATTCGTAAATGCGCCCGTCTCTCAATTAACGTCAAATAACGTAGACTCAATTAATGCTTCTTTCTTTCGATGAGCTTCTAATTTTACAAATGCGCGATAGAGAAGACTAATGCAACGTTTCTGCCTTTCGAAAAAATTATTTGTGAATTCTAACCCGCAAAAAAATATTCTAAATAATTTATTCGCTATCTAAATAAAATGTAAATGTAAAAATAATATTTTATAATCTTTATATTATATGCGTAAGTAATATTTACGCCCATCACCATTCTAAGATTCACGCAAAAAGTTCTCGTGTGCGTTGCCCATATGCCGCGTCATACGAGATGACAGATTGCAGGAAATGCCTTTACATAATCCTAGGCTACAGTGACGCGATACCTGCCGGCCGCAATGCCTGTAATTTAGAAGTTTGCCTCTGTTATAAATGGAAAATCACTGCACTATATGCAAAAAATTCACTCCATAATGCGATCATACGGTATATATGAAAATAAAATCGAGAAACTTTGTTGAGATTACGTAACCAATAGCAGTAACTTCTTATTTTAATTACATATAATTGACAAAATTGATAAAAATTTAATTTCCCCAGAAATAAAATTCAAACCGTTAAAAAGATAAAAGACTAGCGGATTGGTGACGAAAGAATTCCATGACAAAGACCCTGCACAAGCGAATAGCTACACATATGCAATTACACGGACGGCGAGGGAAGGTGGGAGAGCGGTGTTGAGAGCGAGGTCAAAGGGAGAAAAGGACGAGATGAGCACGCGAAAAAAAAAGTCTCACAAAGGGAGGGAGTAGGATGGACGAGCGGCGAAAGCGAACGGAGTGAGAAGGAGAGGGCAACATACAGAGGGGGCGGAATGGAGGACAATAAATGTCAGAACAACGACCTCGCGGTGGCTGGCCGGACGACCAGACGGATCGTCGACCATCATGGACAAAATTCTGCCGTTGCAACACCCCAGTTTGATGTTATCGAGTATTGATTTCCCAAA